AGTGAAGGGCCATGGGGTATCAACCCCATCTCTCCTCCTCCTCCTCCTCCTCCTCCTCGTCTTCTTCTAAAATGTCGTCTCATGTGTTTCAAGTAAAACAGTGGAATGAAAAGCCTGCTTGTCTGCCTTCCCCAGCTCTGCCTTGTACCATCTCCAGAGAAAGGAAGCTGTTTGTCTTTTATTTTGAGAGCAATTTTAGAATCACCCCAGGGCCTCAGGAAGGGCTTAGGCTCTCCAGGGCCCCCCCCCTTCTGCCCCCTGTGGGACAATGCAGAGCACCATTCCTTGTTCTCTAGAGCAAAAGGCGCCCCTCTTCCCCACCCACCCCCGCCATCAAAGACCGAAAACACCCCCCCGCACGCGCGCGCCGTAGGCAGACAGACTGCGCCTGCGAGGGAAGTGTGCGTGGGGGGGGGTGAGAGGGATCCCGCAGAACTGCTGGGGGTGTCGTCCGGCCGCTGCATTGAGGAAGCATCCTGCTTGCAGCGCCACTTTGGGTCTCAGCTGAAGGCCCAGAGAGGTGGGCAGGAGCGAGGGCGGGCAGGAGAAGGGCTGGAGGCGGAGCCCGATTAGGGGGCAGAGCCCCGAGGCGAGAGGGTGACCTGCCCTGCTTTGCCTCTCCTCATGTTAAAAAAACCAAACAAACTCTTCAGTGCAAAATGAATTTTTTTTCTCTCTAATCAGGAAAGAAGTGTTAGTGCTGTCCTCCCCCTGCTGGGGCCGTTTCCTGCTTGCACGAGGCTTTAAGAACGTGATTCCTCCACCCCTGGTCAGAAGGGGCACAGGCCCCTCCGCCGTCCTGGGATTCTCCCGCCTCATTCCCATCTCGTTGTGTGGTCCGTGCAGCACACCTGACCGGAAAAAGGGAGGTGGCGTTCAGATCCATTCCCACCTGCGCTTTCCCAATGATGTTGGCCCCCTCCGGTGCCCCCCAAAACGCCTTACCTGGAGTGTCAGAGGCCTGGTGTGCGGCTGCAGAGTGCCAGGCCGGCCGGGTCAGAGGCAGCCAGGGATCGCTCTCTCTCTCTCTCTCTCCCCCCCCAGCCGTACCCCTCCCTCTCCCTCCGCAGAGTCCCATGGGATTCTTGTGAGGGTAAACATGCTGCTCTGAGCTCTTTCAAGAGAGGCCGGGATAAAAATATCCCCAGTCGAGGAAGTGTCCAACTCTAGGAGTTTTCCACCCTTCTTGGCATCAGAGCAACTCTAGAGAAACTGAACATGGGAAGCTGAGTCAGACCCTTTAGGTCCCTTTAGCTCAGCACTGTCTGCTCTGCGTGGCTGTCCAGGGCCTCCAGCGGAGCCACGCTGCTGTCTGAGATCCTATAAACTGGAGGTGCCGGGGCTGGACCTGTCTGCCAAGCTCGTGCCCCTATGCCACCCCTACAAAAGTCTCGTTTGAATTCTACGCACCAAAGCCTTAGGCTTACATATCTAATGCTCCAGTAAATGCCAGGCTTTCCTTTGGACATTTGTCTTAGGGATTTGGCCGTGGGCCTCAGTCCGATCTTTCCCCCCTCTTAGCCCAAGGGGACTCCGTGTCCGAAAGCGATCGCGACATTTTTAAAGGGCGATAAATTGAAACCAGTGGTCAGCCTGTGTTTGCCTTCAGGTTAACCCCACTTGTTCCCATCCTTCTCCCTCTCGTTCACTGTTTGGTCCTCAGCATGGGAAGGGAAGCAGTCATTTCTCACCGTAGACAAGGCTGCAGTGAGCCCCAGTGAGGAGCTTCCATTGGATCCGCGGCGTGGGCTGCCTCCTGGATTAATGGCCAGTCGTGTCCCTTTGGTGGCTGCCACGTTTCTCGTTTGTTCTCAACCTTTAGGCATTGGAGAGACAGAAATGGGGACCGAGGATGAGCTCCCCGGGGGAGGAGAAATCTGATCAGCCTCCTCACGTCCGGGTGATATCGGGGGGGGGCTTCCCCCCCTGGCCAGCTGCCCGGCAGCAGGCTGGAGCCCCGGAAATCAGGGGAACCCCCGCCCTGACCAGGGGTCTGGCCATTCTGCCTACCTTCCTGCCCATCACCACCACCATCCCCTGGGAACAGGCTCCACCATCTGCCCTCTTCTTACCCATCGTGGCAAAGTTTATTGGGGTTGCTAGAGATCTCTTTCTGGTGGCTTTTGGTTTGTGATATATAATCTTAGATCCTGCAGGAGCTTTGAAAAGTTGGCAGCACCAAGAGAAGTATGGCTGCATTTTAGCATTCTGTCATCTTTGGGGAAGCTTCTTCTGTAATGGCTGTGCAAGTGTTTTTGAGGGGAAGGGTTAGACAAACCCGTTTCTTATACTTTGGGGAAACAAAAAGTGGCACAAGGACTGTTGAAGACCTGTTCTGTCTCTATCTGCTCCAGGAGGCGTAGCACATGCCCATCTTCTCTGGCAAACAGACATGTGTGCCGTCTTCTATATGTTATTATTTCTCTGCATTTTGGGGTGGGCAGACCCGGGTCCTCAGAACAGAACCTCAGAAGCTGCCTTCTTCGGAAATGGATGATTCTGACCAGAAGGGTCTCAGGAGCTCCCATTCATCCGGCCCCGTCTGAGCTCTTGTGAACTTTGGTTCAGTAACAGCCTCGGGTCTCCCGGTTCTTCTCTGCCTTTCGTGAAAACAATTGGCAGTTGCTGTCCGTGGAGCACAGACCGGCCCCCTCCACTGAAGCCAGAGTTCAAGGGGAAACTGTCTCCAGTCGCAGCAACACGGTGCCAGCTGCAGTTCTCAGCAGCCTTCTCATCTGGCTGTTGTCAGGACTTGGTGGGAGCCCAAGATGAGTAGATCCCCAACCCAGCCCCACTTTGGTTGTGACCTGCATAAATAATTGCCGGGATATGTCACCCTGCACTTTGCTCTTGTTTTTCCAAGGCTTACTCACTCTTGTTTTTATTGCCATGTTCCCATTTTTACAGAGCAGCCTCCCTTAATTGCTCTTACTGTAGATCATCCAAAGCATATTATTTAAAGATCAGCTTTTGCGCTGATTTACGGAGCTGCTCTTTGATTTGACATTTTTACGTTTGGCGGCTTATTTTTCTAATTATGGCCAAAGGAAGTCTCAGATAAGTATCATTTAATGTAGGGAGCCAGAGCCCCAAGGACAGCAAATTCCACGTTATTTTTCTCTTGCTGAAATGGAGCTATGAGGATTCTCCACCCCCGCTCATCATTTTCCCCCATTTTCCAAACTGGCTCTTGAGAAGGCAGCAGCCTGGGAATGGGGCAGCCCGGGGGGGGGGGCGGTGTTTCACCATCTAGAACAGCAGAATCTGTTTCTGCAGACTTTTGTGGTCACAACTATGCCGGTTGGTAAAGCAGACACTGCAGTGCAGATCGGCAGCCTCTTGGGCACTCATCCAGAGCCAGTTCATTTTAGCCCTGCTCAGGCAAAAGAGATGCAGCTTATCTGGTATCTGTTTGGTGCAGAGACATCCTGCCACTTAAACCTCTTCGGGGTTTTTACAAATCAAGTATTTATTCACAAGGTTAAGCACACATGGCTTCTTTACCTAACACAGCACTGAACCGTTACAGTCCACTGGGCAGCAGAAACGGACTATAATTGGCCTGGACAGAGCAGTGTAACACATGAACAAGTCTGTAGCTGCCATTTGCTAGTGGCAAGTCACATCCTGATAAAGCACGTGGTGGTTAATAATGTTCATGGCACACTTGTGGTTGGTTAATAATGTTCAGCCATTTATACAGCAGGTGACTCCCAGTGCTCTATGTGGAAACTCTGGTTTGCCCAACCAACAATGCACACGACTGTTGCATAAGAAGGCAACATTTCTTTCCGTTTCCCAAAGAAGATGCACATTTGGCAGGTTTTCAGCAGCAAATGTGGAAAGTTCCATGAGGCAAGAAGAGCCATGCTGGAGCAAACCAAAAAGGAGCTTGCCCAGCATCCTGTGTCTTGTAATGCCCACCAGGTGCCTGCCTCTGAACCCAACAGGTAGGGCTTGGAGACTTCGCTCCCCTGCTGTGTGCTCCTGGAATTGTATTGTATTCCAGGTTTTATCAGTTCCATTTAGCTCCTGTAGCTGAGGCCCTCTCATGTTTTTCAAGTAAAACAGTGGAATGAAAAGCTTACGGGTCTGCCTTTCCCAACTCTGTTCATATTTCTCCCTGGGGCAGATGTGAAAAGGGCATACATGTGGCAGGAAGCAAAGAGGCTCATTTGAGGGCAGGTCACATAACCATTCAGGAGCCAGGCAGATCCAGGGTAGTGCTGCATGAGGCCACCCACTAGGCTGACTCTGTAGCAGCGTTTCCCATCCTGTGGGTGAGGACCCCAAAGTGGGCTCAGTGCTTTGGAAAGTGGGTCACAGGCCAGCCCTCCCTGTTGGCTGCCCCTGTCCTTCCCATTGCTCTCTTTTGTGTTTTGGAAAGCAAGAGCTGATCCTGGAAACAGTATTTTCCATGTCATTTCCCTTCACTGCATATTCCCGTTGATCAAGTAAAACGTGTCCTGATGGTGACTAGAATGAGTTTCTTAGAATCTTAAGGGGGAATAGAGGGTGTCGTGGAGAAGGAGAGGCTGGTCAAAGGCTGGGATGCACCCTGTATATACGCAGAGGCACGGCCACCTGCTTTGTGTTTCTTTGTGCCCTGTTTGTTGGCTTCTCAAGAAACATCCGGTTGGCCACTGTAGGTAACGGGATGCTGAACTAGATGGGCACCAAGGTCATAGTTTTCCCAGGGCACCAGAAAAACCTTGATCCAGGCATGGATGGGTCAACGTGCCAAGTAAATTTGGACTTGTGGGTCAGCAGGCCCCAAAGAGTGGAAACCACTGCTCTATAGCAACACATGGAACTCAGGTCTTGATATGGCACTGCCTACTGGCCACCTGAGGAGTTAATGGCTGCGTAGAGCAGCGGCCTCCTTGCCCCTAGATGAGAGCTGAGACACATGGGCTGCGGCAGGTCCGCTGGTCTTCTGGACTGGCCCTTCACCAAACCATAGTGGGGATTTTTCAGAGTGCTCTTCTTATTCTCTGCAGCCCGCAAACTGAAGAAACTGGGCAATCTGAAGATGCAGGAGGAAGGGGAAGCAGCCGGCCCTTCGAGTCCCACAGAGGAGCAGGCCCCAAAGATGACCATGACCCGCATCGAGAGCCTGGAATGCCAGCCCATCTTCCTCAACGTCCTGGAAGCCATTGAGCCTGGCGTGGTCTGCGCAGGCCACGACAACAACCAGCCCGACTCCTTTGCAGCCCTGCTGACCAGCTTGAATGAGCTTGGCGAGAGGCAGCTGGTGCACGTGGTGAAATGGGCAAAGGCCTTGCCAGGTAAGGGGCAGCTTTTGTATTCTTACACCCATGCCAGGTGTCCCAGAGTCAGGCGTCACAAATAGCACAAAATCCATCCTCCAAAGCTTCATCAGCTCCCATTCCAAAGATCACTTCTGCTAAGAAACTTGGTTTGAAAATTCAAGTTGGATTCCCTTAAGAGACGGCGAGATGCCTGTTGTCTTCACCACCAAAGCAGTCTGCACTTCTCTGCCCCATGCAGTCCTGCGTCACTCACTTGCTTTCGCTTCCTTCTGTCCGCATTTCTACACGCACTCATGATTGGCATCTCCCTCTTGGCCATTGAAGTTCAGAGCCATTGACTTCTTTGTTGCAAAGTATTTCCTACTCAGGCTTATAAATGGGGCTGATTTGGTTGTGCAGTGTACTCAAAAAAGCCCATGACAAGTTGATGGCTGTACATTGTACAAAGAAGTAAACTACATGTATTTACACAGTTTATTCTTCTTTCATAATTTGCAGTTAGATATTTGGAGCTGAAGGGACTGACAAAAAGGTAGTTGACTACAATAATGAAATATTTTTTAAAAAACAGGAATATATAAAAGAATAAATTAGAGAAAATCTTTCTAGAGCTCAGTAGAAAGTTTGGATGAAACGGCCTGGAACGAGCATTAAACACAAAATAGTACTGCAAAAAAAAAGTGGCATGCATTACAGGCCCTCCAGAACAATATTCTAGAAGTGGACACACTGAACTCTCATTCTTTTATTAACCCTTTCTAGGCCAAAATGCCTCCGGAACAGCCCGGAACAGCCCAAAACTGGCATTAAACACACAATAGTGCAGCAAAAAACAGTGGCATGCATTACAGGCCCTCCAGAACAGTATTCTAGAAATGGAAACAGGGAACTTTTATTAACCCTTTCCAGCCCAAAATGCCTCCAGAACAGCCCGGAACAGGCACTAAACAGACAATAGCACCACAAAAAGCAGTGGCATGCATTACAGGCCCTCCAGAACAATATTCTAGAAGTGGAAACAGGGAACTCTCACTCCTTTATTAACCCTTTCCAGCCCAAAATACCTCCGGAACAGCCACTAAACAGACAATAGCACCGCAAAAAAACAGTGGCATGCATTACAGGCCCTCCAGAACAATATTCTAGAACTGGAAACACGGAACTCTCTCTCTTTTATTAACCCTTTCTGGGCCAAAATGCCTCCGGGACAGCCCGGAACGGACATTAAACACACAATAGTGCAGCAAAAAACAGTGGCATGCATTACAGACCCTCCAGAACAGTATTCTAGATATGGAAACAATTTTATTAACCCTTTCTAGGCCAAAATGCCACCGGAACATCCTGGAATGGGCATTAAACACACAATAGTGCTGCAAAAAATAGTGGCATGCATTACAGGCCCTCCAGAACAATATTCTAGAAGTGGAAACACGGAACTCTCACTTTTTTATTAACCCTTTCTAGGCCAAAATGCCACCGGAACATCCTGGAATGGGCATTAAACACACAATAGTGCTGCAAAAAATAGTGGCATGCATTACAGGCCCTCCAGAACAATATTCTAGAAGTGGAAACACGGAACCCTCACTCATTTATTAATCCTTTCTAGGCCAAAAAACCTCCGGAACAACTCGGAATGGGCATTAAACACACAATAGTACCCCAAAAAACAGTGGCATGCATTACAGGCCCTCCAGAACAATATTCTAGAAGCAGAAACATGGAACTCTCACTCTTTTATGAACCCTTTCTAGGCCAGAATGCCTCCGGAACGACCCGGAACGGGCATTAAACACACAATAGTGCCACAAAAAACAGTAGCATGCATTACAGGCACTCCAGAACAGTATTCTAGAAGAGGAAACAGGGAACTCCCACACCTATATTAACCCTTTCCAGGCCAAAATGCCTCTGGAATGGCTCGGAATGGGCATTAAACAGATAATAGTACCGCAAAAAACAATGGCATGCATTGCAGGCACTCCAGAACAATATTCTAGAAGTTAAAACACGGAACTCTCACTCTTTTATTAACCTTTTCTTGGCCAAAATGCCTCCGGAACAGCCCGGAAAGGGCATTAAAGAGACAATAGTATTACAAGAAATAGTGGGGTGTGTTAAAGGCACCCCAGAACAATATTTTGGAAATCTAATAGCAGAGATAGTATGCACTTATTAACCCATTCTGGACCAAAATGCCTCCGGAACACTCCGGAGCAACCCGGAACGGGCATTAAACAAACAATAGTATCACAAGAAATAGTGGGGTGTGTCAAAGGCACTGCAGAACAATATTTTGGAAATCCAAACGCAGAAATACCTTGCACTTATTATCCCATTCTGGGCCAAAATGCCTCCAGAACAGGCTGGAACGGGCATTAAAGAAACAATAGTATCACAAGAAATAGTGGGGTGTGTTAAAGGCATCCCGGAACAATATTTTGGAAATCCAATCGCAGAGATAGTATGCACTTTTTTGCCCGTTCCGGGCCAAAATGTCTCCGGAACTCCTAGGAACAGGCTGGAATGGGCATTAAACAAAAAAAGTACCACAAGAAACAGTGCAGTGTGTTAAAGGCACTCCAGTACAATATTGTGGAGATCCAAACACACTTATTAATCTGTTCCAATCCAAAATGCCTCTGGAATACCTTGGAACAGGCCGGAACAGAAATTAAACCAACAATAGTACCGCAAGAAACAGTGGGATGCGTTAAAGGCAATCCAGAACAATATTTCGGAAATCCAAATGCAGAACTATCTTGCATTTATTAACTCTTTCTGGGGGAAAAGATCTCCAGAACATCTGGGAACTTTCTGGAACGGGCATTAAACAAACAAAAGTAGCACAAAAAGCAGTGGGGTTATTTAAGGGCACTCCAGAACAATATTTTGGAAATCCAGAAGTTAAACTCCCACACTTTTATTTACCCTTTCCAGGCCAAAATGCCTCTGTAATACCGCCCAACAGGCTGGAGCATGCATTCCACAGATAATCGTACCATTAAAATGCATTAAAAGCACTTGAGAACAATATGCATTACAGACACTCCTGGACAATATTTTGCAAAACAAAAAACTGGAGGACTGTACTATTATTAACCTTTCCCTCTTCAACTTCCAGTGCGTCATTCAACTTTCGAACCAATGAAAGCCAGTGTTTGTGTCACTGGTTTTGTACACATTCATCCACTGTGCACTGATGACATCCCCCATTCTCTGTATTATTGCATTCACCTTCATTTTGACTCACTGCCTGAATCAACACATTGAATTTTAAGCAGCCCTACAAACAGAGTGTAGTCCAGTGGCCAAAGGTACCACAGAATATTCAATCTTTGTCATGTTCAGTTAAAGAAGAATTGCTGCAAGCCAGCTTAGAAAACATGTATGTTAGAACAACGGGGACAACCAGTGCCAGTCTGAATAGATGTGACTGGCTGTGGAGAGTAATGCTTAAAGCAGTTTGAGTTATTCAGTAGTTTATACTACTGACATCTCTGTTTGATTGTTAGTTGGTTACAGGCCTCGGTTCCTGTTTGACTCTTCCTCTACAAGTCTCTGGCGCTGGAGGTATTCACCTCCTTCCCTCCTGCCTGCTATGGCTGCATAATTGTGAGAGATTTCTTAACATAGTGTTCCTGCCAGGGAAGCGGGGGACCCTGCCCATGAGTCTCCTTTTCATCCTCACAACAACCCTGTGGGGTAGGTTAGGTAGAGAAGGGGAGATTTGGCCTGGGGTCACTCAGCCAGCAGAGTGAGAATACAAACCTGGGTCTCCCCACATCAATCTGCAACTCTGACCACTGTGCAGTGCTGCCTGTCACCACTCCCATCGAATCCTCTATAGGAGGTTCTCCCCTCCTATAATCTGGCCAGTTGTCTTTTCCAGAAAATCCCGTAGGTCATCCCTACCTATTCATTCCAGGCCATCCGAGGAGGCATTCTGGCCTGGAAAGGGTTAATAAACATGTAAGAGTTCCCTGTTTTCACTTCTAGAATATTGTTCTGGAGGGCCTGTAATGCATGCCACTGTTTTTTGCGGTGCTATTGTCTGTTTAGTGCCTGTTCCGGGCTGTTCCGGAGGCAGTTTGGCCTGGAAGAGGTTAATAAAAGAGTGAGAGTTCCGTGTTTTCACTTCTAGAATACTGTTCTGGAGGGCCTGTAATGCATGCCACTGTTTCTTGCAGTACTATTGTCTGCTTAATGCCTGTCCCGGGCCGTTTCGAGGTGTTCCGGAGGCAGTTTGGCCTGGAAAAGGTTAATAAAAGAGTGAGAGTTCCATGTTTTCACTTCTAGAATATTGTTCTGGCGTGCCTGTAATGCATGCCACTGTTTTTTGTGGTGCTATTATCTGTTTAATGCCCGTTCCGGGCCGTTCCAGGGTGATCCGGAGGCAGTTTGGCCTGGAAAGGGTTAATAAAAGAGTGAGAGTCCCGTTTTCACTTCTAGAATACTGTTCTGGAGTGCCTGTAATGCTTGCCACTGTTTCTTGCAGTACTATTGTCTGCTTAATGCCCATTCCAGCGTGTTCCGGGGTGTTCCAGAGGCAGTTTGGCCTAGAAAGGGTTAATTAAAGAGTGAGAGTTCAGTGTGTCCACTTCTAGAATATTGTTCTGGAGGTCCTGTAATGCATGCCACTGTTTCTTGCGGTACTATTGTCTGTTTAATGCCCGTTCCAGGCCGTTCCGGAGGCATTTTGGCCTGGAAAGGGTTAATAAAAGTGTGAGAGTTCCCTGTTTTCACTTCTAGAATACTTCTGTGGAGTACCTGTAATGCATGCCACTGTTTTTGTGGTGCTATTATCTGTTTAATGCCCGTTCCAGGCCGTTCCGGAGGCATTTTGGCCTGGAAAGGGTTAATAAAAGAGTGAGAGTTCCCTGTTTTCACTTCTAGAATACTTCTGTGGAGTACCTGTAATGCATGCCACTGTTTTTGTGGTGCTATTATCTGTTTAATGCCCGTTCCGGAGGCAGTTTGGCCTAGAAAGGGTTAATAAAAGAGTGAGAGTT